CCAACGCAAGAACATCGCAGGTGCCGCTTGCATTGTTCTTTCAGTGGCCTACGACACCGTATGGCGAGAAGGCTTGCTGCTGAATGTGTCAAAAGCCGTCAGATGTCGCCAGACGATGCGACTCATTTCCTCCTTCCTGGCAACAGACGTTTCTGCGTGCACCTTGGAAGCATGGCGAGTAGACCTCGTCTACTAAATAATGGTCTGCCGCAGGGATCATTGCTGGTCCCAGCACAACCTTTACAGGGTGTCCCAAAAGGTATAGAAACATTTTTAAAATTAATATCTCACTAATTTATGCCTCAAATAAAATTATGAAAACCGTAAAATGAAGTACAACTCAAACTTTTTCAACCTGCTATTGCAATTCCACATTGGCACTATTTGTGGCTCTTTAGACGGTCAAACGATGTTCAAGCTCTTACCACAACTTAGGCAGAGTGTCATGTACTGTATAACTGTTTGAATAGCTGCAACAATTCTGTTCATCAGATCAGATTGGAGATTGCTTACTCAATAAAAGTCTAATTTCCTAAGATGTTGCAACTCCATATTTTAGCAAGCTAAGGCATGAAAAAAAAAACAGATCTGTGGATTGGACAAAGCAGGTTCATTCCATGGCCACCAAGATCGCCTGAACTAACCCTAGAGGACTTTTTCTTTTGGGCTATGTCAAAGACATCGCTTATTGTAGAAAAGTAGACAATCGATCAAGATCCAAAGAACAGAATCGAGCTCGAACATCACTTAGACATATACAGAATCACAAATGGTGCTCATGTGGCATTGCAATAGCAGGTTGAAAAATGTTTGAGTTGCACTTCATTTTACTGTTTTAATCATGTTATTTTAGGCATAATTTAGAGATATATTAATTTTTTAAATGTTTCCATACCTTTTGGGACACCCTGTATTTAATATCTGCACGAGCGCCCTAACTGCCACCATCAGCAGGAAATTGGGCTACGATGACGACCTAGCGCTAGCCACTCAACCGCTAGCCCGGATTCACACATCCAAGGAAGATATGGTCCTCCTTGAACCGAATCCAGACACTCCAAGAAAGATGCGAACACATTTTCCAAAAATGGAAAATCAAAGCTGGTTCACAATGCGACTGCAGAGCACCAAACCAAACCATACAGCATATAGTACTCGAATTCCCAATTATATCCTTGTATGATCTCTAATAGGGTCATCACCCCATTAGAGCCATGTGTTTTTAATTTGCTCGCCACCAAGAGTCAAGGGCACCAAGCGATCGCTGGGTGTACTAGGTATAAGGACTGTACTGTCGCACATCTGCTACGAACCGACTTACCGCGTTCTAAAAAATGCTATTTTGAATACATTCCAAATTAAAAAAATTTCGTCATGCATTAAAAGGTTAAATGCCTTGCTTATCTCTCCTTGCCAAGCAAGGCAGTGGAGATTAGTCGTGCCGAACACACCATATTGCGTGAACAGCAGCGAAAGGGTTAATACAGCCTGGTAACAAATAAGTTATGTTCCTATTTTCAAAAGTGAGTAGTTCTTAAGTGAACACTACTCTTTTACACTATATTTTTTATTTGAGTGTTGAGGGTCCTCGTAGTCAATATCTAGTCTGGTTTAGCTTAAGCACTCACGGCACTATCTTTGGAGGGCTGACGAAGTGCAGTTGTGGCTTTGCATATGCAGGGCTACTCCCAAGCTAATAATTTGAGAATGCTGGAAACTAAATAATTGTCACGAAGATTTGTTAGTCGGACTGTCAAGCGCATTGTCGAGACCGGAAGCAAAGATGATCACCCAAGAAGTGGACGTCCTCTCGCTGTTCGTACATCAGCATTGAACATTTGTGAAGAGTCAGGTCAGGCGAAATCGAAAGCGGTCATGGAGGAAGTTGGCAGCTAGGATGAAGATCCACCAGGAATAAATGCAACTGCTGGGAACAAATGATCTTTGCATGCAGCTCTTCAAAAAGTCCAAGGCTCACGGACTGACAGCAGCTAACTGATACTAACAACTAACAACAGCTAATAAAGGCTGTTGGAACGGTTCACATATGTGGAGCACAACCTCTTTCCAGACGAGATCTTTACGACACAGTAGGCCTTCAATGCCCAGAGCAATCGCCTGCTAACCACCAGCTTACCGGTGATACCATCTGAACAGAGAATCGTTTCTTGTTGGCACACGCCAGCCGTAGTGATGGTTTGAGCTGGGGTTTCAGCAAATGGCCGCACAGATCTGATTTTTGTGCCAGAAGGATCCAAAGTAGACAGACATTGGTGCCACGAGCTTATTTTGAAGCCTGTTTAATGCACTGCAAAATCTTCAATAATCAACAATGGTGCTTCCAGCAAGTCGGAGCGGAGCCCACTTGGAATGAGTAACGGCAAATTTAAAAGGTTTACAGATTGGCATAGTTTGCTTCAATAAACCCACATTACTAACAATAAACTGTAAATCTTGAGGAAACCTTCAATAGGACATAGTATGTATGCGAGTTTAAAGCATTGGGAGATTCTAAATTCGTTATCCTGTTACAATGGAGATAAAACGTATTATTCATTTTCATCCTTTTCTGTTTCCAAGCAGAAAGCACGAATAGGAGTTGGTGGGCGTTTAAATGGTCTCCTCCCATAAAATCATTATTTTTAAAATAAAGAGTGAGACTAGCTACCTTGTGACGTCCCATGTGGAAACTATGGGAGTCAACAATTCCTTACACTGTTCTGATCCTAGCAATATGTGAGGGTATTTATCCGGTAAGACTCACTAATTCATTCTGGAATTGCAGGACAAATAGCCACGACAGAAGTTCGGAACATCCGAGGACTGGTCAACCATTAGAGGAACGACATAACCGAGCACAGGAGGACGCTTCCTCTGCGGTCAGTTCGAAATCAGATTCTGGGTATCAATAGGCGCTTAGGCGCCTTAACCCTTTAATGGATTACTTATATTTTTCTGCGAAAAAAACCATGTAGGTTTCACTCACGTCCTAAAACACAGATCAAATGGAAAAAAAAAAATTTAGTCAAATTTTTAAGCAGTAGGCCCCCGAAAATGTCATTGCTGCTCATTTGCTACTAACAGCATTTTCAGCTTTCTACCCCACGCTGCATGGATGATAAAGATCTCAGTCGGTCCGTCAACATTCGTAAATTCCTTTCGTAAACAAAAGAAAAGGTAAAGAAACGGAGGAGCCTGAACCCTGGATTAAAAAGAAAATTAGGTTAAAAAAAAGTCAAAAACGTCAATCTGCCTCATGACGAAGCCAGATTGGTTTTAATTTGATTGCCACCAGGAGTGTATGGCACCTACCGATCGCATAGTTTCTAGGTATAAGGACCGGACTGTTGCTCATCTGCTACGAACATATTTACCTCAGGAGCCCGCTGCTTGCACTTTCTAAAAATATTTATTTGGTATGTAGCATATCTGCTACATCATGCATGAAAGGGTTAAAAGTATAAAAAAGTTTTTTTTGTAGAGTTACATGTTCTTGGAAATCCCCATGTTGATTAAAGAAAAGTACACATTTCTAAGAATCCTTTCAAAGTCGAAGTTGGTCGTTCTGCCGAAGAAGTAATTGCAAGACAATTTCTAATGATATTAGTATGCGTATACAGTGCTACAGAAGCAAAACATCTCAATGTCAAGCTAAAGGCAGAACTCCACATGCAGTCGACATTTTCAAAAAGAAATGATTCTGTTATAATTTTAAGGAAATGGGATTATAAATACTGCTCTTCGGAATTTTATTAATTCATCCAAATTTTGATTTAAGTCAATGTGTCAATGTGTCATAAGTCGGTATTATTGGCGTCAGAGGCTGATTACAAGACACTTTACGAATGGTCACCTGGTGTACCCAGTGGGGGAAGTTCCATGACTAAGCAACCCACCCAGGTTGCACTAAACATTGATTCAACGTTGATATGGTGTAGATTGAATGTAGGCGACCGTCTCCGTTTATGCACCCACATTGGGCCAACATTGATTCATTGCTGCACTCTTCACAGTGGAAGTATCGGCATTAAATCAACATTGATTCATTGGATTCTTTTCCAGTATAAGATCCCTCTTTTGTAGTGTCTACCGTTGCGAATTTTTAATGCGTACTCCATCAGGGTTTGTCAAATAGTTCGGCCAATCTGTCAGAAAACATTTCCATTAAAAAAAAAGTTCGATTTAGTGCAGATATGACAGTGGCTGAGAGGCGCTTAGTGCAAATTTTGTCGCATCAATCAAGCAGGAAGGCATTTTGCGCTCGCGTGACATGGAGCAAAGGTTCGAAGCCTGACCGAGTCGGACCTATTTTCCGATATAGACATCGACGTGCTTGGCATCGACCATTAAGGACCTGGGCTAGGAGGAGTGAAGTGACGACACTAGCGGAATATATCCTAATTTAGCTTGAATTTAACGGCTTGAATGTATCGTTTTATCCCCTTATTCCGATCCTATGCCTGTAATGGACTCCCATCGCCTAGACAATTTTTCTTTAATTTTCTAGAAATGGGATGTCTTTCATGGAGGGTTCGAAAACGAATTTTTAATGATTTTATTTGGTTTTTAAGAAAAAATTAAGTAAGGGGATCCAATGGATTCCCGTTTTTGTGATGCTCCATTTTGCCCCAAAAATACCTTGCCTGGATAAGGGTGAAATAATGGCATTACTAAGATCGTTGAATATCAATTGAAAGAAGCTCTCTTTTCACATGCTGAATTTGGGCTTAAGGCCTTTTTATTCTCATGCCTTGGGCGAACTCCTTTCAGTCCATCGCTCATGAAAAATCGGTCTATTATAGTCCAGAGAAGTTGGTCTTATTGTACGTAAAGGTTCCATTGAAGGGATGAAGTTCGATGAAGATATAGGAACTGGCTGATGAAATTATTTCTGTTTCCCTTATTACTTATGCACAAGTACGAGGGGAGGGTGCATCAAAACGTTTCCGGAAAAACGGCTGTAACTTGAATTGTGTGATACCCGTGTCAATGTAACTTACCCCACTTCTCAACCCACTTCTCAAACTGTGCCTGTATTATATGAAGTATTTTACAAAGTTTCAATCCATCTTTGACCAAAAATTTGTGCAATAGCTTGTAGCTCAATGATGAGCACTTTTTTCATGCAAGCTGTCATTTCATGGCCGCTGCGCATGTGCCGCCAGTGTTGTGGAGTCATAAATGTGAACAGCACTAGTGTATATTACATAGACCTTAATGTGTAAGTTTTATCATGGTATCATGATAGTGATATCAAGAGGCGATTTCACCCATTTCGATATTACGTGTCGAGGTCGAGCGTTCCTTAATTTTAGGGTAGGCCTAATCCTCTTAAAGCTAAATATATTTTTTTTCTGCGTATCCTAGTTGCTTACTGTCTATTACCTAACGTCAACATTGCCCCCTACCTTTTTGCCTGTCCATGAAAACATCCAGATTCTTCTTAAAGATAGTCACAGAAAGGGCAGCCTTCTGTGACTTCCGTGACTGACCTTCGTCATCTAACGCATTCCACGCGTTCACTACATTGCAAGTAAAGAATTCCTGTCTCGACCTGAGCTGCACCTGCGGTTTGCGCAACTTGAGTCGATTACCTCTCGTTCTCTTGCTGCCATCGAACTGGAAAAACGTACCACACTCGACATTATCTATTCCTTTAATTATCTTGAAAGCCTGCATGAGGTCGCCCCTCCTTAGTCTTCTCTCGAGTGAATAAAGTCCCAACGCTTCCATTCACTTCTCGTACGGAAGTCCCCTAACCTCTTTTATCTATCTAGGTCACGTGTAACTTTACATACGAAAACTTTTCTGGAAACTTTTTATCCACCCTCGTAGATCAGGAACAGAGTTGATGGACAGGGTGTGCTACTTGGACAAGTAGCACAACCTCGGTGAATCAACATTGATTCAACTTTAACGTCAACGCAGCTAATTTTGAAGTAGCATTGGCCTGTCAGGGTTGATTCCATATTGAAAGCTCATTTTTATCAACCTTGAGGCAACGTTGACATCAACAGTATATCAACATTGACTCAATGTTCAACAGCAACATTGTAACGTTGATTAAACATTCGCGTATCAATGTTGACCCCGCATTGAAAATTTATTTTCTTCAACTTTAAAGCAATGTTGAATTAACAATGGTTCAATTTTGAATTGAAACAGGTCTCAATAGACCGTGCGCTTGCGCTATTTTATTGTTGTATTTCTATGCGAATATCATGTCGACACGATCTCAACCCTCTGAAGTCGTTTTTAAAGATCCCCCACTCTAAGGTCATCATTAACTTTATACCGAGATAAGAGAGATGCAGTAATTCCTGGGGACGCAAGCCGATAGCATATACCTAGGTACATGCAGTAACTCGCTGTGTTGGCTATTCTTCGCCATCTCACCAGGGAATATTGTTTGCTCGAATGTCACGCCAGATGTTTCGCCCGACATCTGTTGAAGTAACGTTGACTGGACAATATCCTCGCAATTTTATTTTCAATACCCCTACGGGAACTCCATATTCAGATTTCACGCGCGATATCAAATATGACCATACAGGGGTGCTTTGTTCGTAATGTACATAGTAAATATAAAAATTGTATACGGGAGACTGTATTTTGAAGCCATCCAGTTCATATAATGCTTTTGGCCATTCTTAATGAATATGGAGCTATATGTGGTTCATATATGAGCCACTTATATGGTGCTTAGTCGCACTGTATATGGCACATGTAACAATTTGGTATGTTTTGGCCATATTTAATATATTGGATATATATAACTATATATTATTATATACAGGTCCCTTTTATGGTTCTTAATTTGCAATATACAGTAGATGGTCCCCCGCATGCATTATTAATGGCAGATTGAGGCAGAAGGCCAGAGTCACTCAACACCGAAACTCTCAGAAGCGTTTTTGTGACTCACCTCACAAGGGGAACCTCACTCACTCTATGCATTGAGCAAGAATTACCTGGAGTCTCCTCAAGCTAGGTTACGTCTCCCAACATATGCATTGATTAAAACGACTTCATTCCTTTGGTTTGTACGTGGGAAATTAGCTAATTGAGGATGAAAGCTTCTGCAGAACCATTCGTTAGCATTTGGGGAATCAGGAGATATATTGGGGAGGGATGAGCGCGACCTCGCTTATATCGTGAGAACTTTATATTTATTCTAGAAACTGCTAGTTGTCAGGCCATATAGAAGGTCTAAACGTGCACATCGCGTGTACATCCATGGACATTACATGGACTGAACAGTTTTCAAATATATTCTAAATACAGTATTTTTTCCGTATAGTTTATGTTAGTGTCGTAAACATTGCAAACCTAGCACCATATATGGGGGGCTGTACATGAACCATATATAGTTCCATGTTTATTAAGAATGACCAAAACATGATACGGACTGAACTGTTTCCAAACAGAGTCTCTCGGGGGGCATGTGGCAGCCATGTCCAAACCACCTGACCTGGGACCTCTCGATCCCGAGAAGTAGCTGCTCGACATGGAGGCTCTCGCGAATGGCAGAGTTCCGCATCCGATCCCGGCGCGTCACACCAGCCACTTGACGCAGAAACCTCATTTCGACAGCTAGTATCTGCGATCTGGTTCTTTCGGTCATTACCCAAAGTTCATGACCATAGGTGAGGGTGGGGAGGTAAACACTCCTAAAAACCGAGAGTTTCGCTTCCCTAGAAACTTCCGATCTGGCAACCACGGTTCGCCAAAGCTTTCGCAGAACTGCAGAAGTATTGGAGTTGCGGTTGTCGATCTCGTCTCCGTGTCGCCCGTCACTCGAGAACCAGACCCCGAGGTACTTGAACTTCTCCAACTGTTCCAGTGCGACTCCTCGGACATGCAGGGTGCACTGTATAGGATTTCTGGAGGGGACCATGACCTGTGTCTTGGAGACGCTCGGTTTCATTCCAGCCGCAGTGCATTCGGAGTCGAACCGATCGAGCACGCTCTGGAGCTCCTGTAGAGAACGAGCCAAAAGGACGGCATCGTCGGCAAAGAGAAGTACTTTTACCGTGACGTCGCCGATATCGACTCCCTCCACGCCGAGGCTGCGCCTACAGTCCTGTCCATGTACACGAGGAACAGGAAAGGAGAGAGAACGCAACCCTGCCGGAGCCCAGCACGTACCAGAAAACAATCCGAGCTCTTTCCGCTCACTCGGACGCGGCTTCTGCATTCACTATATAGGGACTGTACGGCCCGCAATAGCCGACCCTCGATCCCATACTCCTGCAGCACTCTCCACAGCTTCCCTCGAGGCACCCAGTCGTACGCTTTTTTGAGGTCTACAAAGCACATGTAAACATCTTTGGCGTACTCCTAATGCTTCTCGAGGATTTGGTGGAGAGTGAAAAGCTGGTCTGTGGTGCTGCGCCCTTCACGAAAGCCACACTGCTCCTCTTGGATGGCCTCACCCATGACTGTCCGAGCTTTCTTTTCCAACACCTTGGAGTAGATTTTGCCCGGTATGCTGAGGAGAGTGATCCCACAGTAGTTCGTGCACTCCCTCGAGTCCCCCTTCTTAAAAAGGGAAACTACCACACCGGTCTGCCAATCTCTAGGTGCTTTCCCCGATTCCCAAGCGGCCTGACACACCCTATACAGCCACGAGCACCCATCAGTGCCCGTTGCTTTTAGAGCATCTGCCCGGATTTCATCCACTCCAGGAGACTTCCCATTCTTCAGGCTGGAAATGGCCTGCAGAACTTCCTCCGTGGTGAGACTAGTCTCCGCGCCGAGAGGCTCCAGGTCGGGTGGGTCAGTGTCCTCTGTCAGCAGGTTTAAGAGCTCCTCAAAGTGCTCCTTCCACCTCCCAAGTATATCCGCCTCAGCAGCCAACACTTCCCCGTTTCGGTCTTTGACGACCTGGAGAGTATGTTGCCTGCCTTGCCGTAATCTTCGGATGGTTTGCCAGTGCGGTAGTCCGATTCCATTTGATCGCCGAATTTCTTCCATGCCTCCTGTTTCGCTTTGGCTACGACACGTGCAGCAGTTCGGCGCGTCTCGGTGTAGCGTGCCCTCGAAGAGTCCGACCTACTGGACATGTATGCCCTGTAAGCTACCTTCTTGGCAGTAACAGCCTCGCGTACCTCTGGTGTCCAGCAGGGAGTGCGTTTGGCGTTACTATGCGACACTCCGACGCACCTCTCCCCGCACATCGCCGCTGCCGCCGCTGAAACACCAGACCGAAATAAAGCCCATTCGTTCTCTACATCTGACGTCTGGGGAGGCAGTTGGGAGTACTTTTCGCCGATCACCCTTGCAAGCTCGACACGAGTTCCCTCATCGAGAATGGCTTCCCACCTTACTCGTTTGGCAAAGCGTGCGGTTCTCTGCCTCATTCTGAGATCTCTCCGTATCCCGAAGTCTGCTGACCACTAGATGATGTTCGGTGCTCAGTTCAGCCCCACGCCACATCCTCGTATCCTTCACAAGGCCCCACAAGTCCGCTGAGACGATGACGATTGCTGACGCACAGTACCAGTCCGACTATCAGACTCCCTGTGCCAGGTAAACTTGTGGACGTCCCTGTGCCGGAAGCAGGTGTTGGTTATGGTCAGGCCGTTGCCGGCGCAAAAGTCCAACAACTTCCTGCCATTCCCATTCAGTGTGGCTTCCCCAAAACGACCGATCACACCACTCCACTTAGCGTCGTCTCTCCCAACTCGTGTATTGAAGTGCCCCATCAGCACTACACGGTCGCCTCTTGGAATCCTTTCTAGAGTTCCATCCACCTCCTCCAGGAAAGCATCGTAATCCGACTCGCTGTTCGGCCCATAGACCTGAACGACGGTCAAGACTCCGACTCGCTCCAGTCTGAGGCGGATTAGTGCGACACGCTCGCCGACTGGGTTCCATTCAATGACGCCGTCGGCCAGGTGGGGGCTAACGAGTATCCCCACTCCCGCCTGAGCGAACACGGTCGAGTCGACTCCACTCCAATAGAGGGTCCATCCGTGGTCTAGGGTAATGGAACAGGTGCCTTTCCTTTTGGTTGAGGCTAGACCAACTATATCTAGTCGCCTCCTCCTAGCCTCCTCCACGAGTTCGGGCTCCTTACCGCCGAGTGTTAACACATTCCAAGTCCCGATGTCCAGAGTCTGTTGCCAAGGTCGTTTGCCGTTCGATTTCGTTCCTGGTCTGCCCTTGGGGCATCGTGCCGAGAATACGCTATGGCCGGTGGCAAGCCGACCGATAGGCCTGGATGTAGCATGACGGGGTCCGACGCACCCAGAAACATCGGATTGCTGGGCCCCAGTAGCCAACTTATCAATGGTCACCCTGGGAACACGGTGACTATTGCAGTCCTGATTATCTTGGGCGACGACTTAGCCAGTATAGGATACCTGAACCGAACTCATCATGCTGGTTTTGGTTCGTCTTAGTCACCTTCAACGGAAGCCCCAGTAACATGGTTGGACCTGAGATACTACGGCCTTCCGCATCACTGGGGTTCGGCTGAAGATGTCTTCAAGATATCCCGAAAGGGATATCTCTAAGAAATCGACTGAAAATGTATAAAATACGTCTCTAAGATGTCCCAAAGATATTCCTTACGAGATATCCGATACAGTCCGAAAGATGTCTTCAGGATATCCTATAAAGACCACGGGACAACTCGTCCAGTT